GATCTTGTCAAAAAATTGATCAGCAGTGAGCAATCTTTAAGTATCTCAGGGTTTGTAAGGCTTAATGGACAGAGTGCTGACATCATCCAAGTGGCCCTGCACTATGCAAAAGGATAGGGGAATGGGTTTTATTTCCTTTCCCCCCCTACCTCCTCATATTTTTTTAATGTGTGATGGTTTTCCTTTGTTTCTGCGTTAAATCTAATGTAAGAATTTTTTTAAAGTTTTCATTTCTTTATTTATATTATTTTTAGCCAACATTTGATGTATGACTCAAAAAGGAAACACACCCCAAAAAACTATTACAATTATTTGTTCCAGAAAAAAGAATGCTACACAAAGACTTTGCTTAGGAATAAAAACTGTATAATTCCCAGAAGTTCTTAATTTTAAGGGAAGTGTGAGCTGGTTTGGTGTGGTACTTAAAAACACTAAGTGAGATATCTAAGATTGAGAATTCTTGTCCCACCTTAGGCACAAAGCCAGCTGGGTGAATGCCAGTGACTCCCTCTTAGTTCTGGGAAGAAGACAAAAGAAAATGTTGCTCAGATTGTGGCTTCCTACAGGTTAGTAATCTTTGAAGGAAGGTCAGAACTCAGGATGGATAGTAATACTGGAGATTCCCTTTTTCTGGCCCATGTCAATATTAGAGAGGTTTATTTATTTGCATAGGATACCTAATACATTAGACATCAGAAATACAATGTACAATTAAATTGGTAGTTTATATAAATGTGTTGAATCTTGAATTTAACAGAGACAGCAATATTTTATATAAACAAAATAAATATTACCTAGAGTGGGAAATGTTTGGTTTGGCAACAATATTTGTGAAAAGGGACTTAGAACTGTAATTGATTACAAACCAAATATGAGTGAACTAAGTGATAGTTGCAAAAAAGACAAATTTAATTTTATGCTTCATTAACAGAAGTGTAATCTTGAAATCTCATATAGTACTTTGTTTCTTATTGGTGTGAGCATACTTTGAGTATAGTGTACAGTTCTGATAATTTAAAAGGGAATGGAACACAAATGGAATCGAAGCAGGTGCAGAGATGGGTACTAAAGAGTGCTGTTGGCCTTGCAAGGTAGTCCAAACAGAAAGCATGCCCAGATTAACTAATTTTACTTTATTGTAAAGTTACATTAACCAAATCTTGCAAATCTGAAAGTGTATTTCTCAGCCTTTAAAGCTTAAGACACTAGAAAGGATCTCTTCTGAGATATTTGCCATGCCCTCATTGCTTCTGCAAGCTAAGTTGCCTCTTATCCCATCATCCCCTTGGCTGTGACCTCTCCCCATCTCTCAAGGTCATTCTTACATATCATTATAGGTAGTCAGTGGGCTAAAAGTTAAATCTTTATGAAAACTTATTGAATGTAGTGGGTTAATTTAGCCTGAGAAGGCTGAAGGAAAATATGATTGAAAATAACAGAAAATTGTCACATAGATATTTGTTCTTTATCATTCCAGAAAATAGGTTGCGGAATAATGAATTTTAGTTATAGGAAGGTCCTCCTGTAAATAAATTAAATTCTGATACATAACTGCAAGTTGCCATTTCTCAGAGAAATAAAGTAAACACAGTAGCATTTTTATATGTAGAATTGATATAGGCATTTTAGGGCTGAAATTCATATCCCTAAGGCTCAGCCAAAGTTAAAATTGTATTAATATTATTCTGCATAAAATGATACTAATCTATCTTCTATATAAATAAAAATGTAAATGTTCATTTGTTCAAAATCTTAAATCTCCAAAAGTTCTTCACCGATTGCTTTGAAATTTTGACACAATGTTGCATTCGAATACGCGCGTGTTTTTATATACCTACTATTATATAGATGTCACATCTGTGACAGGTAAAAACATGTTTTTGAAAAACAATGCCAAAGCATACCCACAAGCATTGTGAAATTAAACATATTACAAACGTGTGCTTTCTCTTTTCTTTCTTTTCTATTTAACCAGACTGAGCCACAGCAACGCGTGGCCGGGTACAGCTAGTATAGAATAAGGTTTATAATGCAGCAAAATTTGACAATGAAGTCATTGAAGTAAGAAAACCAGCAGTCAATAAATATGCCAGACTAGTACTTGGTAGAGAAACAATGAAAGCCTTGGAAAAGATACTCAGATGCATGTTTGTAACTACAAAGATCAGAATTGTGCAGACAATGATTTTCCCTATGACAGTGTATGGAACTGAAAGTTGAGTTTTGAAGAAGGATAGAAAGTGTATTGACGCTTTCAAAATATGCTGGAGAAAATTTCTGACAGTACCAGGATAGCCAACTCCATGGTTCAAAGAACAAATTTTGTCAGTTGAGGCACAAATAATTACAAATATTTTGGATACATTATTAAAGACTAGTAAAGTTAGGAAAATGCATCATAGCATACTTTAATATTTTTTTCCCTTTGTTTTTTCCAGCTGTTTGCATTAAGCGCACAGAAAGTAATTATAGTAACAAGGAAGCCAGCATTTTCTAAGGAATTTAGCCGTAGTAGTGCCTTAGAACATATCACTGCATTAAAGGTTTTTTTGTAGAACCAAGGATGGCATTTTACATCATTGTATAAAAATGTTCAATACCAAGTTCCTTTGAGATGATAATACTTCTATTTTCAGCATGTTTTAAAAGCTTTTTAAAAATTACTTGACTAATAATGAACAAGACTCCCAAAACCTCACCTTTTTGCAAATAGTAATACACTAAAGTTGACATAGAGCTTAATTTTTTAAAATCTGTGTACACCATTTCCAAATTAATTTGCTATAGTTTGCTACATAGGTAGCACATGCATCAACTGCATAATATTAATGTAAAGTGATACTTTATCGCACACATAACCAAATATTTTTCCAATATGTCAAACAAAATTTGTATTAATTTTTATTTAAATTTTCTCCAGAATGCTGAGAAACATATTTTGTAAACTGAGGATCCACAAGTTCATCACAGCACATTTTATAGCTTTATTAAAGCTTACAAAGTGTACAATTCCTTTAGGATTCTAGCATTCAACCTAGCAGAAGCATTGTGAAAAAATTACGTACATCTATGAGATACATTGAAAAGCTGAAATGTGTTACTGTTACCCTCTTCTCAATTCATTTGTTTGGAACATTTATTTTGGCAAAACAGTCCAGATACGAGAGAAATTGCCTGATGTCTTCAATTCTCACACCAATTCTTCGATAACTACAAAAATTAATTAATAAGGTTAACTTGTTCCATTTCAATTTCTTTTCAAAAATTATTTGATGTGCTCCATAATTCATGAGTGTATTTAGTAGACATATCCCATAAATTAGAATTTTGTACATAAAGTTTGAACTGAAATATTGTTTTGTAGAATCATAGACACACATAGTCTTTTACCACACATTGATTGCTGGAAGGGACAGGAACTTTTCCAAAGCACTTATGTATTGTAAAATACATCTTTGTACATTTTCCATTAAATCAAGCCCGGACATAGAAGCAAATAGATATCTAATGTATTAGGTTTTGAAATAAAATTAGGTCATTTTAAAAGGGAACATACTATGGACTGTAGTCCAGAGTTGTATATTATACAACAAAGAGCAACAAAGATGATTAGGGGACTGGAGGTTAAAACATATAAGGAAAGGTTGATGAAATTGGGTATGTCTAGTTTAACGAAGAGAAGGACGAGGGGGGACATGATAGCAGTGTTCCAATATCTCAGGGGCTGCCACAAAGAAGAGGGAGTCAAGCTATTCTCCAAAGCGCCTGAAGGCAGGACAAGAATCACCGGATGGAAACTAATCAAGGAGAGAAGCAACCTAGAACTAAAGACAAACTTCCTGACAGAACAATTAACCAGTGGAACCACCTGCCTCCAGAAGCGGTGAATGCTCCAACACTGGAAGTTTTTAAGAAGAAACTGAACAGCCATTTGTCCGAAATGGTATAGGGTTTCCTGCCTGAGCAGGGGGTTGGACTTGATGACCTCCAAGGTCCCTTCCAACTTTATTATTATTATATTATTATACTTATAGGTAAAAGAATTCTGCTCTACCCCCAGCTACTCCAGAAAAAAAAATAAGCAAGGATTTAAATAGCTAAAATTACAATATATGCTGTGGTTGGGAAATATAAAGATCACCAAATTCAGCCAGATTTCCCAGATGAATTTCAATTCAATTCTTGAAAAAATATCAGCAATACTGAAAGCAACCTCTCTTCTACTTTGGTCTAAAATTTGAAAACAATTAGAGATGTGCAACTATTTCAAATTCAACCCATTTGAATTCAAAATGCTATTTTAGTGTAAAACAACCGTCAAGTGGAAAGTGGGTTATTTTGATCACTTTTGAAGTGTTTTGAGTTTGAAACATTTCTGTTCTTAACTTAAAACAACACTATTCTGAGTTTAAATCTCTGTGCTTCAAGCTTAAAATATTTCCTACCTGTTTCACATTTGAAATGGAGTATTTCAAATTAATAATGGCTCTAATGAAAAGCTATGATATTGTGCTGAGAGTTATCATCAAAACATTCCGTGCTTTGTTATATATGACAAATCTTATGTTTGTCATATGTTAATATGTTATATATAAATGACTTAGATTTATTTGGAATGTATTCAACTGAATTTAACTAACCTGCATTGGAATGTATTTTGATGTTGTCTTAGGGAAGGTACACAGCTAAACTAACATCCACTTATGACATTCTTCTAAGAGCTCATATTGTGGTGAGGCAGAATTCCAATACTGTATGAACAATTCTAGTAGTGCCAACTATAACAAATATTCTTCTCAGCAATTAAGTAGAACAATTTCAACCAGTTTCCTTTTATGGAACAATTTTCGATTTTGATTTTTTTGGGAGTACCACATACTGTTTAATCAACACAATGTGGGGGGGAAAGTACACTGTAAAACAAGATTACAGTGTGTAAAAATGCCGTTCACATTTGTACTATTGATATTAGCAATAATCCTTCAACAAAACTGACGAAGTACATAGCTTTCTCAATTTATTCCAAGGCTGCCAAATTAACACTTTCACATTAACAATCTTCAGTGCAGGTCTCTCTAAGAAGAGACAAGGCTTTAAACAGGACACAGCTTTATTTCTATGTAGCTATAATTTATTTATAATAGTTATGCAGCAGAAATTGCCAGTGGAATTGTATCTACTATCTGTCATCATTCTGAAAATCACACTCTGCACAGATATATAAAATGCCTTCTAATATTTTATTTACATTTCAATATTTTAAAAGCCTGTGTTGATCTACACATTTCAATTTCCTCTTACCATAGCCTGTGTAAAGGAAATGTTTGCCTTTGTTTTTATTTATGAAGGAACCATTACTATATATTTAATCTTTCAGATTTCACTACTGTACTTATTTTCTGAAAATATAGCCAACTAAATGGCCATGTCCACTAATTATTAAGAAATGTTCTGAAGCAGTGTGGAGTAAAGAACTTTTGTAAGCTGTAGTACAGCTACATGCAGCGTGTACTGTACAATTACAGCCCCAAAACCTTTGTAAAACCCCAACATTCCCTCTTCACGTTTTATACTATTGATACAGTCTCTCATCCCTTCATACTGTGTATTGATGGGGAGAACTTCATATCCAAGATCTGTATTGTCAATGATGGTGCGTGTCCCTTGAATATGAAGGCGATGCAAAACTGTCTCCAGTGGATAAAGCATAACATCTGCACAAAGACTGGCAGCAAAGCTTGCAATAAGTTCAGGAAAATAAGCATCCAACATGTTTTGTACAGAATTAGAGTTCTCAGCTGGGAAGCTTGGAGAATTCTCTTTCTTTAGGAAGAAGAGGACCAGTTTCTGGACTGCCGAGCTGATTATGTAATGAAGAACTCCATGCAGAACTGTTGGAAAGGTCAACGCCAATAGAGGGAGTAGCCGCTTGCTATGGGGAATTCCAAAGCCCATTGCTCTGCCTATGCCCTCTTTCAGGCAATCCAAAATTCCAGGATTATCCCGAATGATTTCACTCTGTAAGAGAACACAGTACTTCAACTAGATACCCAGAATTTATGATTACTGTGACTAGTTTAAACTTATTCAGAGAAATAAACTTCTATAGAAACTATTAGATTTCAAACCTATTGTATTTCAGGTTGAATAGGCTTTGATTTAAAGAAGATGTATCCAACCCACGGCCCAGAAGCTGCAGGCAACCTTGGAGACCTATAATGTGGCTCCACAAGATTTTAAACTTTTAACATTATATGATTTATATACATTAACTATATTATATATATTTTGTATGCAGCCCAAGACAATTCCTCTTCATTCAGTGTGGCCCAGGCAAGCCAAAAGGTTGGACATCCATGATTTAAATATTATGCCAAATGGTTGCCCTATAGCTTATGAAATTATTGTTTAAAACTTCTTTTCAAAAAGGGGTGGGCTGCTTTATGTTATGCCATCCTTGGGCAATTATGATATTTATCTTTAATCATGCTTCAGGTATTTCAAGCTTAGTAGATTAAGTAGATGCTTCTTGGGGACAAAACAAAATGAATAAGCTTTGTTTTCATACAGTACTGTGACGTGCAATTCAATAGCAAACTGGCAGTATAGGTAGTCCTTAACTTACAACCATACATTTAGTGACCATTCAAAATTACAATGGCACCGGAAAAAGTCACTTATGACCATTTTTCACACTTACAACCATTGCAGCATCCCCGTTTATGTGATCAAAATTTGGATGCCTGACAACTGGCTCATATTTATGATCATTGCAGTGTCTTGGGGGGTTATGTGATCACCTTTTGTGACCTTCTGACAAGCAAAGTCACTGGGGAAGCCAGAATCACTTAACAACTGTGTTAATAATTTAACAGCAGGAGTGATTCACTGTGGCAAGAAAGGTTGTAAAATGGGACAAAACCAGTTTAACAACTGTCTTGCTTAGCAACAGAAATTGTGGGCTCAATTTTGGTCACAAGTTGAGGGCTACCTGCACTAGCTGGCTTACTCAAACGATCTTTATAAATCTTTATAATCTCGTATCACACATAAACAAACCCACTCCCAATCATCTGCACATTATGGAAGGCTGTCTTACATTCATTTTATATTATCTTCTGTAACTGATCCATGAGAATTATATGAAACTAGGTCTTCTCTGTATTCAAAATTTTAATTTCTTGGTGACTTATGCTTTACGGACCATAGTGAATCTCTAACAGTAGTAAAATGGATCAGACATAGTTTGAAAGATTCTAGAACCGTGTTTCTTAACCTTGGCAACTTTAACATGCGTGGACTTCACACATCTTAAAGTTGCTAAGGTTAAGAAACACTGTTCTAGATGATTAACAAACATACTCAATACTTGCCAGCTTTATTTTTTTATCTAAGTTCAAGATCTCTGGAAGACGGAGTAGCTGTGGGTATTTGGAACCCCTGGAGACAAGGATCTTTCAACTCTGGTTCTGGATGGAACACACAGATCTGGTGCGTAATCTGGGGGTCCTCCTGGACTCACAGCTCCTGCTCAAACAGCAAGTGGCTGTTTGGCTGATGTTGTGCCCATACCTTGTGCCCATACCTGGATTGGGAGGCTCTGCTTACAATAACTCATACCCTTGTGACCTCCAGATTAGAATACTGTAACACACTTTATATGGAGTGCCCTTGAAGACCATTAGCAAACTTCAAGTAGTCAGAATGCAAGGGCGTCAAGTAGTAACTGGTGTCAGATACTGTATATGATACATATAACACCACTTCTATATGAGCTGCTCTGGTTACCAGTGTGTTTCTGGGTGCAATTCAAGGTGCGGTGGTTTGGGACCAGGGTACCTGAGGGACTGCCTTTTTTCCAGTCTCTACCTATCCAACTAGGTCAAACAGAATGGGCATGCTGCACATCCCTTCAGCCAGAGAATGTCAATGGTGAGCTTTTTCTGCAGCATGCCCTGCTCTATGGAACATCTTCCTTTCAGAGATTAGAATGGGCCCAACCCTGTTAGCCTTTTGTAAAGCTTTTGTAAAATCTGGCTGTTCTCCCAAGCCTGAGGCACC